ATAAACGACAATTATCATTCCTAATATTAGAGAGAGAAATTACCTATTTGTTTTTCATGTTGGTTGTAATAAAATACAATTAGAAGTGAAAAAAAACAAACAAATAAATCAATACATCGGTATAAAGAAAATATAAGATTATTTTTCAGTATTTATCATTGTACTCTATGAAAACAAAAACAAACATTTTAATTTTCTACTGAAATTATTAGTCAGTTGAAGCTGGGCCACCATGGAAAACCTGAAAGCACTGGACGGCCGTTTCGTCCTAGTATGTGACTCCTCAGCAGTGCGCATCCACGATCCCGCACCCCGTGAGATTCGAACCCAGGATCTGTCAGCCGTGACCAGTGGAGCTAATCCGTGTCGGGTAGAAACAGGTGTCTACCTCAGTGCAATGGAAGATGGTCGCTCAATTTCGTGGATTGGTTGAGGTAAGACATTAACACCATTGAATGCCGGATCAGTGGTCTAGTTGGTTAAGCGCCAGGCGCGAGACTGATAAGTTTCGGGTTCGAACCTCGCGAGGAGGGGTTGTGGATACGCATCGCTGAGGACTACCACAATAGGATGAAACAGCCGTCCGATGGTTCCAAGTTTTCCATGGTTGTCTAGCTTCAATTGACTCATGATTTCAATCAAAAACTTAACAATCTCCACAACACCTAAAGTGATTTTAATTTTCAATTAATTTTAATGAATAATATAAACAATCTAAAACATTGAATCATGTCTACAAACTCCATCTTAATGAATTTGTAATCTTAATTATTGTAATTTTTATTACTTAATGAAATTATCAGTAATAATATTTCTATAATTGAGACCATGAGTCAGTTGAAGCTAGACCACCATGGAAAACCTGGGGGCACTGGACGGCTGTTTCGTCCTGTTGTGGGACTCCTCAGCAGTGCGCATCCACAACTCTGCCCCCCGCGAGATTCTAACCCAGGACCTATCAGTCTTGTTCGCGAAAGCTTAACCGCTAGACCACTGAGCTGACCAGCATCCAACGATGTTAATGTTTCATTTCAACTCATCCACGAAAATGAGCGACATATCAACTATTGTCATCAATGGGTTACTATCTCACAAAAGACCCGGATGAACTCAACTGGTCACTGCTTCCCACTAGAACTCAAGGAAATACCTCTTGAAGCCAGTCACTAGTGAACATATGTTGATTATTAACAGAAGGGGTTTTTGTGGTTTATATAGTAAGTTCAGTAGTTAAGATGATGAGTCAATTGAAGCTAGACCATGTGTCACTCAACTTCGTAGTTTAGTTGAAGTTAGACATTAACACCGTTGGATGTCGGTCAGCTCAGTGGTCTACTGGTTGAGCGCTCGCGCGCAAGACTGATAGGTTCTGGGTTCGAATCTCGCGAGGTGATGTCGTGAACGTGCACTGTTGAGGAGTCCCACAATAGGACAAAAAGGTCGTCTAGTGTTTTCAGGTGTTCAAGCTTCAACTGACTCATGATCTCGACTACTGAAATTATTATAATATCCACGAAAATCTCTTCTGATAATAATATTTTTGTGTAATATGTCCAATAAATGGAATTAATAACATGTTTGGATTTTAAACAATGATTAAATTATCAATATCAATGTGAATATTATTTCATTTGATATTTTGTTTAGACTGAAATACGATCTTGAAAAAAAAATTGTTAATAATCCTGGTATATTGAAGTGAGAGAAAAAAATAAAGTTCCTGTCTTCATATATGATTATTTTATTCATATTAATGTTTATCTTATAACAATCAATGAACTAAATCATGGAACATATAAATTTATATGAAACCAGACTAATGAATAGTTGATCATTTATGTTAATATTCTCTGAATGTTTTAACTATACTACGATTAAGTAGCTTAAGTTAGGAGTATTTTCAAAATATACAAGTATTATGTCAAATTTTCCTATATTCATTAATTGAGAAGAATTTATGTAAGTTTGGTATAATCTGTCGGTTGATCGTGATCATTTCAAATAAAATATTATGTTACTATCATGTTATTATTCATTGGTGTATTTAAATAAACTACCTTTGCTCATTCAATCATTTAGTAGTTGGAAAATTGTAAATTTTATTGTGTGTTTTTCATTATTGATTGATTGAAACTAATTAGTCTTGTTAATGAACCATATTGTAAAATTATCTAACTAGTAAATCATTGTTTGTATTGTATTTTCTGAGTTTACTGTTTTAACTGTGATGTTTTGATTATTAATGCGCATGATATCATCACTGCTTACTTCAATTCGAAGTCGGTTGTTTATCAAGAGAGTTCATGAAACTGTTTTTTTTCTAGTAGTATTAACAACCATTGTTGTTATACATTTATTCGTTTAGTATCTTTTTATAGAATCAGATCTCTACTGGATTCGGCATTAACAATTGATCTGTATCATTCACAGAATAAAACGTTACATGTATTAATGTTTGTACAAATTCATTTAAACTAACAAAGTTAGTGAATCAAAAAACGTAGAGAGTTACTCATTATTAGGCAAATAAAAATGAATATGTATTAAATGGACGTAGCTTGTGATGTGTTATTTATATCATGTAATAGGTGATATCTAATCCAAGTTAACTATTCGATTCAGTAAACGATAAAATAAAGTTTGATTTGTAAACATATATATATACAATAATGGTATTATTAGCTTGTTAAGGTGATAACTAATGAAATGAGAACAAGAAGTGGTCTCAGTAGTAGTGTACTTTATGAACAACAATCAGTGTGTTATCTGGACAGTTTATCAGGAAATTCCACGTCAAACTGTAACAGTAATTTATATCCACGACCGTAAACATTAAACGAGATTATAAAGAAATTTATTTCATGGCGGAAATTATTTGCAAATGAAGTCTATTTTACCATCTTCACAATCTAACTAGCTACAGAATGTGTGTTGAACGATAACAGGAGTTGAATTCATGGTCAGACAAAAGGCACTTGATTCCTTAGTTTATGTCGAGAAACAATAATGAAAAGTTGAAAGTGTTTTGCTTTCTTTAAAAAAAAATTAGATTTTCAAATACATCTAAAGGTAAAGACAACGGAACAATTTTGGGAAGGATGCGCTATGGTTTAGGTGTGAGATTTATTGTGCAGCAACTAAATGTTTTTTAGTGGTATACAATTAAAGTATAAACTAAATGTCTCATGTGACTGATTCTGTTTACGTAATTTATATCATAGATTGATCTTAGATAACCGTTTAAAACCAGAGAGCACTGGACACTTATTCAGTCCTAACGTGAGACTTGTTAGTAGTGAACATCTTCAGCCTTACCAGAGATGAGATGCAGGACCCAAGACTGAATCACTCAATTAATGTAGCCTTTCTTATTAATTATATATTCAAATGGTCAGCACAATTAAAACTTCAAATGTTTATTGATTATTCAGTTTTTAATGTACATCTGTGATCATGAAAATTTTTCAAGACATATTATCGTTTCAAAACTAATTTACCTGGGTTATCACAAGTGGATGGGGTTTATATTATTTTCAAATAATATTATGTCCCTTTCTTATATGTTAATTATTATTTAATAAGAATATAATCGTTCTAAACAGATGATGGTGGCTAGCGGTGGAATTCAGAACGCGAGTTTCGTCCTATTTGGGACTCGTCAGTTGGATGTGCCTACATCACAAAGTTGATGTACGCACTTGATAAACTATAAGATATGTTCACAACAATCTGAAATAGTTAATACTTGTTGTGACATGTTTGAAGTGCTTATGTTAGTTGACAGATATTACTTGATCATATCCATCGTTATCTTTGACTAATTTTTACTAACTTCGTATTTTCATCGACTGACACTCATAGAATGTAATTCAAAAACATTAGAGAATAGAATTCTACTCAGTTTTTGATTAAGTAACTCAATATAACATGAAAATTTCAATACAAGTCATATGATATTTTGTTCAGATAAATTCAACATTACGGTTATTCTTCCCTGGATAATAACGGATGGGAATCGTTTTCTGTAGTACTACTGTTTTTATTTTCCAGTTTTGAAAGAGTGCTTAGTAAACCTTTTATTGTTTTAATGTGTGGTACTTTTTAATGTAATGAAATTGCTTATTTTACAAAAAGCAAGCATTCAATTGGTGGAGGTCATATAGCACACTTTGAAATTATTCAACTTATGGTGAATAACACAGTACAGATATTATGTTCTTATTTTTTGGTCAAACATTTTGTTTTGCTCATAAGTCGTAGACTGAAGCACATGAAAATAAGCTCCGTTTTATTTAAATAGAGCTAATTAGTACTTACAAACTAAGTATCTTTAGTGTAAAGTTATTTTCATGAGCTCATGTTTACAAATCTACTCTACTCTACTCTACTCAAAATATCGTTACATGAACACCATAATTAAGACCGAAGCTAAACTGAATTTAAAATATTAAAGTTGGACTATTTTCTGTAATATTCAGATTAAATGACCCTAATTAATTAATAAAAACGAATTCTCTGTTTGAATTTATGGTAATGAACAAGTACACGACGAATAACAACCGACAGATTACTAAATAGTGACCACTGCTATATTTGTATAGATCGTTAGTGTTCTTCGTACTCCATCTTACTTTCATTGCAGTTTCTCCTTGGTTCTAATCCACTGTGGAAGATTATTTTGACCAAAACTTCCAGTAAGCCTTGTTCACAAACGACAACTATCAAAAAACATCGTTCCATGATTTTTTGCCATCCACTTCTACCGCCTTACAAGTACTCTTTATGTAAATAGCCAAACAGTAATTAACTGCCGCAATTAGACTTCATATGAAACCAGTAAATCTTAAGGCGAAGTGAAAAATTATCATTGTACATTTAATTTAAAGGTTTTGTCAGATTATTTATTATTAATGAATTACTATTGAATTAATAATACCTTTTCATAAACAGTATTTCTAATAATTCACTATTGTTTCTCTTTTCTTTTTATTTCCTGTTAGAAGCTACAGCTGAACATGATTTGAGTAGTCTCCTTAGAGAACTTGAAGTGGTTGAAGAGAAAATGAAAGAATTAGAACAGGAAAATAATCAGTTCACTCGAGTAAGGAACAGTAAACTTTTTTTGGCTTTATCGTTTTTAGATAGTTATTTAGTTGTTGAATGTTATATGAATAAATATCAAACTATTATCAAGAATCAGGACATATTATTAGTAATTATTGAATATCTAATTTCACTAGGTACCTCAATATATTGTAGCTTCAAAATTCATTTCATTAATTTATTTGTGGTACAGGGCGTTGATAGACAAATAACTAAGCCTAAATTAATACAACATTCAAAAATATGAAGAATAAGTTATAGTATATAACAAATCACTCGACAATGGAACATTCATGACTGATATTTTGCTAAAACCAAGTATTTAAAGTTTATCTCTGAAGGTTTACTTTAACTGACAGCTAAAACCGTTAACTCGACCTGAGAAGAATTGTCTAGTCTTCTTTTCTCACTTATTAGTTAGCCTGTATAATAACAACACGTTTTATAACTACTTTGAAATATACTGCTTTCCAGTTCTGATGTGAACGTAAATACAAGGGTTCAGATACATCCAGATGACAAATCCAGAATTAAATGTAACGCCTATTCTGGATTCCATTGTTAAACATTATTCAACTTTACAATGTATAATGGCAATCTCAAAATGAACATATATTTATTAGGTTTATTAACATCAACAAACGAGAATATGCATATTCTTGAGTTGAGGTACTTTTTTCGTTGTTTTTATTTTAACCGATCAATTATAGTCACTATCAACAGGTATAATATTACAATTCAAATAAAATGTCAATTTTTTTTGCTTAATAATTAAAGTGGGTACTTTAATTACTATCTACTAAGTGGTCTTCAATTCAATAAATATGTAAAAGTATTCCACTTACCATATTCCTAGTTAACTGATACAGAAAGAGAGATATTAAAAAAGATTTGTATATATTATTACATTAATTTTAAACTAGTTTTGATAGGTAAGTACTTTGTTTAATTTAGTCCAGTTTCAATTTCATCTAATGACTCAGTTATACAATGAAAAACAAATAGAATTATAGAGTGAACTGAAGAATTTTGTTTTATGATAATTTGTACTAATGATTATTTATACCTACATGCACCGTTGATAAAGATATCAGGCAAACGATGAATCGATTTGTTTTATTTCATTGATGTATAATTTACTTGAACTAGTTATTATTTAATATAACTGAATGTATCACGTTCGTTGTTTTCAATGTTTTAATTGAATTACTTGATCCAGTCACTTTAGTGGTTGAAGCAAATATCCAATACTTATTCAATGAGCTGAAATTTCAATTTCCTCTTTATTTATTTAGGTTTAGACTGCTAATTATAATAACACTAACCTTCATACATATAAATGGATCTCAGAACTGAGTACCTACGATAGTAGATTATGAAAATAAAAATTCTAGTTTTATACTGTGCAATAAACAGCTGGAACAAATATCAAACTTGTTAGGGAAGTCAATAAGAAGGAAAGTTGACTATGACAAATTAGAATATCATCAGTAGTGAAAATCATCCGACAAATAAATGGAATAGGAAAGGAATAAAAAGTAGAGGATTATTCTTTACTATAGAACTCAGCTTTGAGTTCAGTCATCTAGTGCTCTCAACGAACAGTGCGTCAATAATTCACAGTTGTAATTACTTTCTAAATGCGATTTTCGTAGTTAAATATGTGAACTAGAACTAATTTCATCAAGGGAGCTCTTAAAGAATCATCAAGTTTATATTGTGAGTTGTACTGCACAAATACTTTTTTACAAAGCTTTATTACATTATCACTTTTCTGATAAATATTTTTGTGTTCTTTATATTCCATTTCTTATTTTGACTATAATTAAAAAGATTGTTATCCTTAGTACAAAGACGCATATATTTCCACAACCTGATTCTGATATGAAGTATGGAGTAATCAATATTCATCATCTTCATAAGTAGTTTACAAAAAAATGTTACATTTACATTCTACAAGTAATTCAAGGTTAAAATTCTTTCTTTGTTTGTTACCATGTCATCTCTCACTTTTTGCACAACTCATACAGCCAAAAGAGATATTCCGACTACTTTGAATTCTAATTGATGGTTAATTCAAGTTAATAAAATGAGTCAGAATAGTTATTTCTAATTTTTGATTATTTTAATTATAACTGATGAGAGATATGTTTGTCATTGCTCTTTCTCTCGAACTACAAAAACAAAATTACTCGTCACTATTATTCCTTTAGTAGTAAACACATAGACAACAACTAAGACAGACATGCATCATGCCAATTGATTTGTCTAGAATCTTTATTAAGTTTACAAAACTAATAGTCAAGTGATCATGTGCTTTAATGACAAACATACCTCATAGGTTTATGTCTTTATGTAAATTTCATATCGGTTAGCTCTAGTGTGGTATTTGTAATGTGTGATATTCGGTTGTTCATGCTAAATTTTCACCAGTCCATCAAAATTTCTATCGATTTCTGTTTAGAATCAACTGGATTGTTGGATAACAGAGAATTTACAATTTCATTTATGAGTTCCCTTCTCTAGATGCAGCTTTACTATGCATAGTAATTATTGTATTTAATAGCCTAATAATATGTAGCTATATACTTCCGCATATCTGTAATTTAGTCACAAATATGATTATATCTACGGTGTTCAAATGATATAACCATGTAGAATTCCAATTAAATTGCTTTAAAATAATATGATCTAAACATTATTTATTAAGTCATTTTGTATTAGTTGTTTAGCTATTCCCATTGATGTTTAGGACTGCAATTGATCAGTCTCTTATTGACATCTTTGAATCCTATGCGGATTGTCTCGATATTGCCTCAAATCACAAGCATTATAAGCAGAGATAGATAGTCGCTAGTAGCTACATCCAGCTGACAAGTGTTAAATAGGACGAAACACATATCGTGTATTCCACCACTAGCTACCATTCATCTCTGCTTATGGATATTTATTAGTGTTATAAATATTTAAAAAAAACTTTTCATTCACAAACTGGTGTCATCTGGCAAATCACTATTAAACAGAACTTATGAAATATTTAATTTGTCTCAGATTGGAACTTTTTAATTCTAACCAATGAACATTATAATTATAGAAGTCAATATCAAACTTTAAAGAATCTCTGTTCTTGAATAGAGCAAATTTCATTTGATTAATAGTTCACTAGGTGAGTAAATGACATTATTTCGAACAGATATAAATACAATCAAACTTATATAATTTTCAAAAGGATAAGGAGAATGAACTTCATAACAATATAGTTTCAACATTTAGTCTTAATCTGATATCAGTTGGAGAAAATTTAGAGACCGCAGAGCATAACTTAAGACTCCATGACTTAATTTTACTCACCACTCCACTTAACATTGAACCGAGAGCCTAAGGGAGTTACAAAAAATGCGGTTACTTCAAAAGTAATAAATCTAAATTCAATGATTCACAATCTTAATATCAATCAATTCTTTTTAAACATTTACTTATATTGTAAAGCTTTAATATCAGTAAAATAAATTCTGTCGAAATAGAAATAGAAATATAGTTTTATTTTCATAAATCACAAACCGGAATAATGCATACTATCGAACATGATCTGCTTTTAATTTCAGCGTTACAGTTTAGCTTCATCCTCTAATGGCAAACATCCAACATATCCTGTTTCTGACAAATCTACAGTAGAAACTTCAAACCCATCAGTAATAGTTAGTGATCAACCTGTAATTTCTTTATCAGTGCCTGATAGGAAAGAAAATTTAAACAAAAGTAATGGCTATATTTGTGCAGAATGGGCAGCTAAATTAAATCATGATGAATATGATCATAATGATAATAGTAGATTTTTAAAGAAAGATTCCTCACCCTCACCTCCTCCACCGCCGCCTGCATTTCTTGGAGCTGGTGATGCATGTGCAAGCCCTACTAGTTCTCCGCCTAGTTCTTCATATTCCCCTCATTCGCAATTAATCCAACAATCAAATGGTCCCTCACAAATACCGCAAAAATCTCCACAACGAAATCAACTTAGAAGTGATGAATCATGGTCTGTTATTCATGCGAACAACCCAATGAATGGAATGAAACCACATCATTTAAACTCATATGATGGTGGTTTAAATGACAAAGATAGAGAAACAATTCAATTACAAAGGACAACTCAAGTTCCAGTTTATAATTCTCAATCGTATCAAAATTTTGATACTCAGAAACAGCTTATTAATGAACTAAGAGGATTATATCGAGTAAGGTTATTGATTTCATTGTATATTTATCTTTATACTGAGAATAAATTTTATCTGAAAGATTATTCTTAAAGTGATTAGCATACTATATAAGTTTGCTTTTGATGATGAATGAATTGAAACAAAATACAAAATTACCTGTATGAATCATTTGATGTTGACAAACATTTATTCGATGTCCTCAAGTACTGTTCTTTTCTGCATTTATCATGTCTGTCTTGAGATATAGAGAAAACAATTAAAAAAGAACTTTGTTTATATACATATATACAAGGAAAATACCAGTATTGATCTTTAGGGAGAGCAAAACAGAAACAACATTAGGGTAATAAATCAAGGGAATGAAGTAATCTTTTAATTTATTTATTAATCATTTGTAATAGATTTACTGGGAGATAGAACTCCAGATTAATAAAATGTAATGGATATAGATAAGAACACCACATTTTACTCAGTCTTTCTATATAGTAGTCTTTGACAGTTATTTACTGAATTAACTCATTAATTATAGAATCACATATAAATATAGCTTACAGTGAATAATGATATTAGTTCAAAAAATTAAATCATTGTATAAATCTCATTCAAGCCTCACATAATCTAATTCAGTCTGAGTTATGTATTTCAATATTTAAAAAAAAAGTTGACTTGAAGATCATAGCATAAACGCCACATCTACCCACCTCCTGAATTCAATTAGGAAAACAAATGTTAACTTACAACGTTCTGGCTGAAAGGAGCTAGTTTACTAACTAACTAACCAACAAGATATTCACCAGTATGGGTTTATAGTAATTGTTGAATTTCATCGAAATCACAAAACAATCTAAGCTAGACAACCATTGATAACCATGAAACATCAGAGAGTTGTTTTGTCTTAATACAAGGTTTCTCATCAATGGGCACCCGCCACCCCGCAAATGGAAACCAAACATAGGTAGGACCTTTGGTTTCGTTCACAAACGTTTAAATTCTGGACTGCTGACGCAAGAGTTTTCAAAAACTTTCTATAAAGAAAATGTAGATAACATCAAGAGTTATCGTCTGTTTCTGCTTGAAAAGAATTTTTTATCATAGTGATCAATAAACTTGCTGTAATAAATTTATTGCAGTACTTCACAAGTGAAATTTGACATTTAAACTCTTATTATAAACACCTTTTTTAAATATCAGTTATTTTTAAAGATGTAAAGAAAGTTGAAACCTTTGGTCTATCCTGTCAGAATAAAGATTTTGTTCGTTTGAGAATGGAATGTGTTATTAATGTATTTCTAACATATCTATTCTTTTATTTAGAACTCAAGTACAAAAACGCAACCAAAATATTCTTTACAACCCAATGTAGAGAAACAGATATACTATCCAAATACTTCTCCAATTTCATCTCCTACACCAAATTACCAAGCAAATTCAAATTCTTATATCCCTACATCATCATCTGATCAACATGAAATCATCAAAACTAATATTAATAACAATAATAATAACTCGTATGTTCGTTCTAAGCGTTCAGATGTTTACCGCTCATATGGATCATTAACCACTAATCAAGGTACAAACAACTCTGATCCAGGAATAATGAAAGAACGTGACTGTGAAGAAAATATTACAGTCAATGAAACTGGCTGTTGGACACCAGATCAAGTTTTTACACGACGTGATTGCCTTAAAGCTAATTCATTGGCCGCAAGGGGTGGTAGCGATGGTTTATCGAATTCAATGAGTCCAGAAAGCTCATTATCGGATAAATCAGTAAGTTTTTATATCTTTGATGTGATCAATATACAAAACAATTTTATTTGGCATAATTTTAGGGTGTTGTATGAGGTAGCTCAGTGGACAAAATACCAAGCTTTCATGCAGTACGTCAGAGATTCAGACCGGGCATAATTGATTATGATGTGTCCGGCTAGGTAGTATCACTAACTTCGACAAAAATTTTGTCGCTCATAGCTGACTATGTGACCTTGTACTTGGTAAATGAGTTGAAATTTTAAAGTTTAATAAAATTTGTAAAACATCTGCTACGGAAGTTTCGAAAAATTAGATAAGACTACAAGATTCCTTTTTAAATATACCATTAACAACCTTTTTAAAGTGTTCAGACCTCCTTTGTTCATAATGATATCGGAAAAATTAATCCGAGAATATTATGAATCTTAGCTGAAATTAAGTAATAATTATTCGATTAAATGAATAACGGTATATTATTTGTCCTCCATAAACACCATTTAAGCTTTGAGTTAAAAAGATGACAGACAGTAAACACATTTTATCCACAAACTTTGAATCGTATCATCACTCAAGGTATAAATTCATTCATTTAGTTTTAACAAATCATGTTTTAAAAAACAGTGTTTTTTAAAACATGGTCCAGGTGGAAGTTCAACAATCAGGAACTTGTTCATCTATTAAATAGTAAATATACTTTATAAGGTCTCAGGCAAAAGTTACATCTTTATTTAGGACTTGACAAAATATCATACCAAATGTACTTTATAATTTAAGTGAATCAAAGTTTGTTTTATCAAGTGCATCGGCTGTCTGTTCTTCCATATTCAATGATCAAAAGTTAATTCTTAATTTAGTAACTGTGGATTTTGTGATTTCTTTACTCTGAACCATGATATAACTCATCGTTGTTTATTGTTGTGATCATAGGGTTCAGAAGCTAATGAACTAAACCGTCTTCATATGTCAGACAGTTCAGAGAGTAATCATGCTAACAAAGTGAGTTCAAATTAGTTTACTACCGATTTAAAAATAATGTGTGTGCTGTAGCAAATGCATTTTTCATTATGTAATCTGTCATGGTCCAATTTATATTCTTGGTTCATTTGTCGGGGATATAAACTTTATGGTAAACAACTCACTTTAAACTAATCACTAATTTTAATTCAATCTTAATCGAAATATTCCTAATCTCATCAGTAAATGTGAAATGAAGTTTGTAACTTTAGGTGGTGAAGGCAGTCAGTGCGAAACCCTGCTTGATTTAGATTTCATACTACTTGATTTTTGTCAGTAGGTTGTATCTATACTGCTGATGAAACTCATTCTGCCTGTAAGATTTCAGCCCACATCACTTAGCTTCGCAGTCCGATACGTTACTAATAACCCATTTGTGGTGCGACTGACGTCTTATAGCATTAAGGTATTTACACTGAGTGATCATGGAGTATTGGTCGGTGCACTGTTTGACTGGTCCTTTAGTACCAATCGAATTTTATTCCATCAAGAATTCAGTTAGATCTTAATGTCAAATACCAAACAGCACGATATGAGACCTAAAGTTCCTTGCTGTTTACCTCGAACCGCCTTCCATTGAAACATATTATTGAGTAGTGACCACATTACTACTTGATTGATAGAATTCAATCAGCACTAAAAGATTAGACAAAAATGACGTTTGGTATTATTCATTAACTTTAGATACATTACATTAGTATCTGTATCCATTTTCAATAAAGTTCCAAGTGTATTAATTCATTAAAAACATATGTGTATGATCACAATATGTTAACGACTAAATAACAGCCTTATCTATCCATCTTCCTCTCTCTCTCCTCTCTCTCTCTCTCTCTCTCTATATATATATATATATATATATATATATATATATATATATATATATATATATATAGTCTGAATAACAAATTAACAATAAAAATAATAAACACGATCATTCCAAATTATTGCTTCAGGCACACTCTTAAAGAAATGAGAAATAAATGTTTTATATAAAAGGAAGATAGAAAATTAAGTTTATTTCACTAAGTATTTGTTAACTTAAATCTTTAAGCATTTTGTTGATAAACAGAATATTCTCGACATAAACGCTTGATTGGTAAACATGGGAATAATTAAATATTTATACATGAAATACATTTTATCAGAAGGGGTTTGTGGAGATTTTAGAAATTTCACAGATTGAAATCATTAGTCAATTGAAGCTAGACCACCATGGAACTCCTAGTGGATGTGTCACTCAATTTCGTGGATTAGTTGAAGTTAGACATTAACACCGTTGGATGCCAGATCAGTGGTCTAGTTGGTTAAGCGCCTGGCACGAGACGGATAGGTCCTGTGTTCGAATCTCGCGGAGTGCGGGATCGTGGATGCGCGCTACTGAGGAGTCCCACACTAGGACGAAACGGGCGTCCAGTGCTTCCAGGTTTCCCATGGTTGTCTAGCTTCAATTGACTCATGATTTCAATCTGTGAAATTTAATACATTTGTATAAAACATATAGGTTGTAAAAGACTAATGACTATTTTCCTTTCAAATGTTTAAATAATAGTCTGTTCTGTATTTTATGGATAACATATTCCTGGAAATCTCTAAAAATTACATTTGATTTTTGTATCTTCCATCAAACATTTAAAAAAAATTGTCAGACGTTTTATCTGTCATTAATCATACAAGATTGATATAGAAATTCCAAGTTTGCAATTCTCTATGATTAAGGATAAGGATTATACTCTGGAATTTATTGGTATCATTACCAAGGTTTGATTTGATAATTTCGAATAAATTGAGCATTGGGTAGATTGTTATGAATAAATAAATAATATATTTGTAATATCCCAATGAGTAGAAAAATTAGATTTTCTGACGTTTCGTGGCTTAGTGTAATTCACTTCTTCAGAGAATTTGGTTGTTTATTCTCTGAAGAAGTGACTTACACTAAGCCACGAAACGTCAGAAAATCTAATTTTTCTACTCATTGGGATATTACAAATATACTATTTATTTATTCTGGAATTTATTGTTTATTAGTTAAAGCAGTTTATTTCAGTTATTTAAAGCTTTGTACTTGGTTGATAAATGAATAGATTGACATAAATAAAGTTGAACTTGACATAAGTATGTTTTATCCAAATTAATCGAATTTTCGATGAACTTAAAGTTTACGAAATAAAATCAGATGACCGGTAATGAAAGTCTGTTGTGTTAATTTATAGGCTTCTCTAATCATACAATAACGACGTAAACACTAAACAACAGTTTCATTTTTTGAAGAATGCTTCTGTCAGCAAGTTACGTAAACTGTTTTACTATAAAGAGTTGAAAATTTCCGACTACCTTCTATATCTTGGAACTTAATGATTCATCAAAACGTTTAATATGTAAACCGAAATTTTGGTTCTGAATTGAAAATTGGAGGGGAAAGTTTTTCACTAACTCAATCTTTTTGGTAACGCTTGATTTTCGCTTGGTCAAAACTACTATTTGAAATCAAAATGAGATAAACTAACATAACGTACTACCGGATAATTTGTAAACGGACTTAGATGAATACCTTTTAGTCACTGTTTGGTGATGCGGTTTTTTGACAACTTTTAATAGCCGTATAAATACCATTAATTTTAGTTTCGTTTTTTAGAAAGTGGCAAAAAGCCAAGCTTCCACTTAGCTTCATTATTAATAAATTCTAAGTTATGAAACCAATAAATGCGCTTAAATGCTAAAACCCATCAATCAATTGTGAGGATATAAGACATTTTTATTGAAACTATAAATAACCAATTCCTTTTTCTTGTTGTATGTTCTACTATATCTTTTTAGTGAGGCAATGAGTAGATATTAAAAAGTTTATACTACTCAGTTATATTTCAATAATCAGTATTTTATTGAAATATTTGGTATGAAATATTGAGTATGTATACATTTCTCACGAAGTTTGCTATGGTAAAGGTATGACATAATGCAAGGATGGAAACAGTTTGTTACAAATTCACAATTACTGGGATTAGTACACAGGGCAAACCAGAGAATACATAGTTTGACTACTTCTTTTAAGATCTTTTGTAAATTGAGGACAGTTAATATTATATAAAGCAGTCAATATTGGACAGTTGGTTTGTCCTATATATGGGTGGAAATCAATGATCACATATAGATCATAACCCGAAATCTTCACACTTCCTAATTAGCACAATATAACTGAGTCAGTGAAAATAAGCTTACTGATTTACACTTTAAACTTTGACTAATTTTTCATATATCTCAATCTTCGTATTTAACAAAACATTTGATATCTCACTGATAAATTTAGGCTACGCACTCAGAAGACCACATTTGTCTTGCTTATTGTTCATTTCTCACATGTACTTTAACAAGTTAATATGTATGACCAGATTATGTAAAATGTGTTGCTCACTAATATTCCGCATAGTTGTAATAAACCTCATCTAACAGAATAGGTTCTTAACTTCATAACAGAGTATAGTAACGGAGTATAAATTAAAATATTATAAGCTGTTGGTTATGCATTGTGTAAAGATTATGAGAGCTATCCGTTACTTCAAATATAATAAAGTGGGATAAAGTTTAAACTTACGACTAGTTAGTACAAAATTTTGTAAAACATAATTCACTTATGAGCAGAGATGAATGCTAATTAGTAGGGAAATGAAGGACATGCGTCTCGTCCGAATTGGAGCTTGTCAGCTGGATGTACCCAGTTCACAATTCATTTGTCTTATTTGATTGTTACAAATATTTGAGACATCTATGCTTGTCGATTTTTAGGAGGATATTAGTTTCTTTCGCATTTTTATTTGCGAATTTAAAGAACCAATCTGTTATCACTTTACAATAGTTGTAGAATAATCAGTATGCAATTGTGAAGATTATTAAGTTTTTGATTGAAGTCATGAACCGATTCATATCAGACTACCAATGAAAACCTGGAAGCACTGGACGGCCATATCGTTCTATTGTGGGATACCTCAGCAGTGCTCATACACGTCCCGCTTACGCGATTCGAACTTAGGGCCTTCGTTCTAGTGCGCGAACGCCTAACCTCCGGACCGCTGAGCCGACATCTAACGGTGTTGATGTCTAACATCAACCAACCCACGAAATTGCGCGACCATCTTCCATTGTACTGACGTAGATACCTGTCTCTACCTGACACGAATTAGCTCCATTGGAATACTTGAATTATTGTAGGGAATGACGATTTAACGACTCAAAAATTAGAGGTTTAATTAATAGACTGACGTTCGAACGTCCAATAATTAAGTAGTATTTTAACCTATACATAACCAATTTAACTTAAAGATGAGTAAGTGAACATGTAGTTGTTAAATAAATTACATTTTTTCCCTTTCACTGAATTACTGCCATCGTTAAAAACACATTTATTCTTTGCTGAGCACCAGTTCATTGATTAGTGTTATTTCTACAAAAATGTTTACTACCAATCAAATCTACAGGTAATTACCAATGGTTAATTAACATTTAATACTAATTATTTATCATAGTATTAAATCCAGTCAAAAGTATTGTCAATTTCCTATGCTCTCATCATCAAGGATTTCTACAGCTTACAATAAATTCTAATTTCGTTTCTCCTCACCTGAATAATTTTTTTGAAAAAAAGTAGACAAATTCAATTATTTTTTCCTTTTTGTCTTTAAATGTCAAAACCATAAAACGTGTATTTTCGAAAATGTTTACATATAAAAAGTGAAAGAACATATCAACAATATTAAAATAATAACTTTTCAAATGTTATTATCAATGATGATTTGATCAGAATAACTACAAATATTGTTCAACACACACCCACGAGCGGGATCGTGAGTGCGCACTGCTGAGGAGTCCCACAATAGGACGAAACGACCGTCCAGTGCTCCCAGGTTTTCAAAGGTGATCTGACATCAATCGGTTCATGATCTCAATCAAAAACTTTATAATCTCCACAACCCATATACTAGTAA